CTGCACAAGGGACGACGGGAAAGAGTCGACTGCGGTCCGCCTACGGAAATCTTAATAGCCATAGACATAGCCATTTTGGCGGAGAAGACGGGAAGCCGAGGAAGAGGCCAGATCCACATGCCATCGACATCAGTCCGTCGGAGAGCCAGGAGCAAATCAACAGTGGAGGAGGAGGAGGAGGAGGGGACGTGCCGCTCAAGATATGGCAGCATCATCAGGTGCAAGTCACGACCGAAGAGCTGGATAGCAGAGATGATTTGGAGTCGTTGGACGACGACGGGGCGAGGAGGAAGGAGATCCTCGAGGACGTTGTGTTGTTCCCTGAAAGGAACCGGCAAACGGGAGCCGAGAACGGGAGGAAGCTATCGGGGGATCTGGAGATGGGCGTGTCCACAAAGGTTTCGCACGGCCCGTAACTAATTAATTAATTAATGACATTTCCCTTTTCTTCTATGCAATCACCACTGCCGTATCAGTGAACATGTTCGCGCATAACGTCTCGCAACTATTGATATAAAACCCACTCTCGTCTCTTATTGAGAAGTGCTTAGGTACAAACACGGGTATCATGACTCTGGACTCCACCCCTACCTCGAAAATCCGATCCAAGCGTCTGTAATAATAAGAAAGAAAAAAACCCCCCTTTCAAGATCCTATCGCACTACAAACTCTTCCATTCGGAGAGAGAACTTGACGTTAGGTAAGAAATAGGATCGAGCATGCAACACAAACTCCTTTTTACCCCCAGCTGTACATTGGCAGAAACTCCCTGCTATGCTCCGTAGACATGACAATGTGTAACACAATGTCCTATAAAAGTTACAACACCGCCGAAAAGTTAATGGAAGCTCAGCTCGTCTTCACTCGACTCCCCATCTATCTTTTCGCTCGCTGATACCCACCAGGGAGTCTTCGCCTTGATCGGAATCCGGCCACTGCGCCGACGCTTCACTCCCGTGGGTGTCTTGCTGAGTTCATCTCGATCGTCGTTATTGCCGTCGTCATTTTCATCTTCAGTGTCCATTGTGATACCATTGGTGTCCGTTGCGTCCATGTCAGACTCGCTCTCGTCATAATCGATAACCTCGGCATACGTCTTCCGACTAATGTCTCGGAGACTGCTATCCAAAGATGTTCGAGACCGCGATTTACGAAGATTTGATATCATGTTCTTGATTTCTTTTCTCGAGCGCCGACTTCTACGGGGTTCAGCATGGGAAGATATAGGCAAATTTGACTCGTTGAAGGACTCTGCCAATATGCGACGACTTCTTCGAGGCTCCGGATGAATTGGGGTTGTCGATTTTGAAGCACTCAGAGGTTTGCGAACAATTCTTCGTGGCTCTGAATGCGTCTGTGAATATGATTCTAGGAAATGAGGCGACTCGGGTGGAGTGACGCGTGTCCGTTTTGCAGAAATGACAACCACGGGCGATGTGCTGCGTCGTTTGCGTAAAGGTGCTTTGACTGGAGACGAGTGAATAAAGGCATCGTTACCAGCCCACACATATGGCTCGTCCGGTGGATCTGTAGGCGCTCCAGCGCCTGAAGATGCAGCTGAACTCTGTTCTACCTCATCTTCGGAAGCGACTGGTGTTGGCAATAAGTCTAATGCACGGATGGGCTTCCTAAGTAAACCCTTGGCATTATTCTTCGCAAAGGGAGTACAGGTAACCCACTCCCCAATCCCCTCTTCCCACCGGAACCCGCCGCTAGCCGAAGGTGCATCGCTTTTGTGAGGCGTGTTCGCCAACATGACACGACCCTTCTCGCTCATCGATTTCTCAATGAAGCGTGCGTAGGTGATATGTTCCGCGTTGTTTGTACTTTGCGCGAACTCTGAGCACGATTCGAGGGCTAGCCTCTTCATGGTCCACATCTTATGCGGGAGTCGGAACCCCTTGAGCGACAACAGCGCGTCAGCGAGACGTTGTAGTTGGTCAAATCCGTCATCTCCCTGAGCTTTGCCAGTGCACCGTGCTGTAGATGAAATAAATCCTGGGAGGGTTGCGAGGGCAGAGGAAATGCCAATGTTCTTGGAAGAATATTGCGAAGCGACCCAGTTGATAGCGCCCACCAGTGTAGATATCTCAAGTGGTACCATTGTTGCTGGCAATTGACACCCCCCGAGATGGACGAGAAATGATGCGGACATGACCCACAAAGCCCGGTGGGTAAAAGTCTCCATATCTTCCGGAGTAGGCTCGAGTAGGTCTAGATGACTTTGGACATCTCCTCGCTTCAAAAGACCGATGACTATGGAATCTAGCACGCTAGTAACTCTCTGTACGGTACTGTCGTTGGTAGAGTCTGCACGAATATTATTCAAAAGAGCAATGCTTGATAATACCGTAAGAAGACTTAGATATGTGGTATCTAATGCCTCTCGAAGCTGTCGTCGAGCGGATGTCCCAGTCTGTTTCGGAACAATGTCGACATCCTCGGGCTCGAAGAGGCTATCATTCGGGAGTCCTATTCCTAGGGAAAGCGTCGTTTCGAGAAAATGGAAGGCACTTCCAAGCATTCGAGGGTCTCCGTCTGACAAGGTGCGTACCAGCTTGTGCCATAATGACTGCATAGAGTCGGTCGCGAGCCACTCAAGTGGAAGGAGCTCTTGAGAGATCATCTGCCCCAGAACGTCGTAAAGAAAACGTGATCGACCGGTGCAGTCTACAAATTTCTTGGTCATCCACATGTAAATCGATCTATGTTTGTCGAACAAATCGGTTTTGGGGTTTGTGGGCAAAGGGAGCGGTTTCATAGCGGAGAGGTACGCCCAAAGAAGTTTCTCCGCCTCATCCCATGCTGCTGCGTCCAAGCAATGCGAAACGACAATGTGTAATGTTTCCACCTTGAGGGTCTCATCTGCAAATGCATTACACAGCATGGATGTCCCATGGGCCCGGACAATGGATTTAAAAGGCCGCCATCCCTGCCCTGGATTCATCTCGAATTTGTCCTCGAGTTCAAGGTAGATTTCGTTTGCGATGTCTCGTTCCTCATTCTTCTCATCGTCATCCTTGTCGAATTCCGCGAAATGCTCTTCTAACTCAATGAAAGCAGGCATCTGTCGAAGGCATGCGCTCATGAGTGATCTTGTTCCTTTCCATCTCTTCTTCACTCCTAGCGCTGTGGCGCTGAGCAGGTTTGCGTATGCTTTCAGTAACCCTTCCACTTGCTTCGCGGTATCGTGTGACATGTGCTTCTTGATTTGCAATTGGTCCCCCTTTGCAATAAGTGGTCCTTTCCTCTTCGGTAGGGGTCTCAGTGGTGAGGACAGTAGCTGTGGACTGTCCTGAAATCGGCCTCCTGTCCGTGCAACGAGGGGTGTAAATGCGATTTCGCCTGGCCGACCGACATTGACCGTTTCTGTAAATTTGTTTTGCGTAGCTGCTGAAATCTTGGATGCCCTTCCACCGTATGTTTTCTTCACACCCGTGGGCTTCGTGCCAGGTACCCAGTCAGGATCGTGAGCCTTCTCGAACCCTCTGGGCTTGCGCGCGCTGGTCAACTGGGTGTAAAGAGTGGTCTTTTGCGGTGTAGTCTTCGTAGCAAAGGCAGTGGAAGGAACGCGCGACTCCCCAGCTGCCTTGTGTACCCTCTCCGTCTCCTTTCTTAGCGCGGCCAGAGGGGAAGAGATGTGTCGAAGGAGGCGATTGCAGCGCGAGGTAGTCCATCGTAGGTCGTCCTCGAGAGGCATAATATGTCGTATAGTGATACACGATGCGATAAGATTGTTGAAGTGCTAATTCCTGGTTGTAAAGGATGCGAATGGTGATGTTAATGTCGAAAGAAGCGATCAATTCATGCAAAACTCATGTTGACAAACAAACAAACAGTCGGCACATCGGCGTTAGAATAGACTAGTCCCGTTCCGTCTGTAGTGTGCCATGTTATCGATAAGGAGATTCTCTCTCAAAGGTTTAGTCTCATTCCGACCTAAAGCAATCACTCTAGCGCCCATTGCAATCGTGACCATTACAGCCGCGCTACCAAAACCACCAGTCGCCGGAGACACGATAACTGTCTCGCCCGGTTCAAGCTTGATATCCCGTAGGTCACCGTACGTCACTAGGAGACAGCAAAGGTACATCAAGTCCTAGGCAGAGTAGCCCAAATCTTGACACAGCTTTGTTTCGTTAAGCGGGATGCAATTTTCCAGCGGCGCCTTGACAAACTCAGCGAGTGTTCCATCGCGCCAGACTTCTCTTATCAGTTTCTTGCTGCCATCAACTCTTAGATCCGGAGCATTCTACGACACGAGAGCGGGTTGCAGGGCCAGGATTCGAGAGATCAACCTCCATGCTTTATATAGAATCAGCGATACGATTTGTCAATCGCCTGGGAATCTTAATCAGCTCCGTTATTGGACAGATATCTACTCACACAGCATGTTTCAGCGCTTCACGAACTCAGACAGGTAGGTGTTGAACTAAAAGGGGGAGCTGACATACACCCGCATAAGCTGAATTTCAATACTTCTGAACCTCGTCAAGAAGGAATCGTTCAAAGCAACGTTGTCAGTATGGCGCCCCCGACTCATTCACAAAACCGAAGGTCCTGAGCTACATGCTGTTAAACATGTTATCAATAAGGTAACTGCCACTTCAAGCTCGATCCTTTCGACCAAAATCCAAATAAGCTTGTATATATATATTCCTTCGTAGCTCTAAGCCTTCAAAGCTCTATCAAATCTGCAATATTCTACTCGAAACCAATTCCTCCAGACTATATCCCCTTACAACAAACACATAGATAGCTTATAAGAAAATACATGTAGTATAGTTATACACTACATACAGCCTGTAAGGCACCTCCTTTCTTTGTATGTAGCGGTAATATCAACGTAATATTGTCGATAAAAACATGTAAAAAGTAGAGTAAGTTAATTAATCTTTGAGTAGTAGAGGGCAATCAACTATTAGAGATGTGATTAACTTTTCTGTACACGCTAGCTAGCTTATGAAATTGCCCAAAAGGAACAAAAAACAAAAAAAGAATGAACGTGCCAGGGGTCGAACCTGGAATCTCTTGATAATGCTACAAGTCGTAGTCAAGCGCCTTGCCATTGGGCCACACGTCCTATGTGTGTTATGTTGTTGATGGAAGTGTGACCAAAATTTAAATATATATACAGAAGTGTTGGAAGATAGGGAAACAGAGGGGAATGAACTGCATGCCAAAAACCTGCAAGGATTCTGGCCGGATGTGGAATAATCGCCGCTAGGGCGGGGCGGTGGCCCCAACTAGAGATCAACTTCGCATGTCCTAGCCTTGCAGTGAGGAGGCCGCCTACCAACGTCTTCAGCCCTGCAGGTAACAATATACGACCACATTGAGATGCCTTGTTATAATTTGACCACTCGAATCCTCAAACACACATTCAGTGCTCCTATAATTTGATACCAATTCAGAATCGAGGTCATCCTTGCGCTCGATTACGCCCCCTCCAACGTGCCAGCTCTCAGGTCCCGAGAAAGCCACCACAGTCGCACCGCGACTTTATGATGACGACCGACGCATCAGCTTCTACCTTTCCTGCGGTTATTTCCCAGTTCTCCTCGGAAGATCTGGTGCTGGGTGCTGGCGTTGCCATCTTCCACATTGCGTCAGAACGAGTTGTGATCTGCAGCGAACCAGATCGCCATGGGCGCAAATACTATTTCTTGCCGAAAGGACGACGAGACGCAGGTGAAGAGAGTGGAAGAGGTGCAGAGAGGGAAGGCTACGAAGAGGTATGACCCCAACCCCTGACTGACCTCGATGCTTGGTCGCGCATCATGTCAACGTTGAGGAGTCACACAATATTTACACCACATTCACAGTCCGGCTACCGCAATCGCCTACTCCCACTACCCATCAAGCACCGGCAACCTCAACCGCACCCCCCAGTCCACCCTTCTCCCCTCACCGCAGAGGTGGTATGTATGCAGTTGATACCAGTGGGGTATGAAACAAAGCAATACGTTTTGTTCTGGTACATCGCCGAGACACTACCTCCCACCCTAGAGAAAGAATTGGAGACGAAGATTGGCGACACATACAAACCTCCTCCGCCCTATCCAGCAGACTTGACTCTTCGCGACAGAGTCAAGCTAGAGCCAGAGGGGTATGAGCCTCTGCATCACGAGGGTACTGGAGTCAACGAGGAAGAGGCAACATACAAGAGCTACTTGCTCCCGATAGAGGAAGCAGTAAAGAAGCTGGGGAAGAATGGGGTCATGGCAAATGTGGTACTGAAGGGATGGAAGGGAATACAAGACCGGTTTGCGCTGGAAGCGGCTGTGGACTAGAATAAGCCATCTTCAACACGGATGACGAAGAAGAGATAGCCTGGCATGTTCGCATGCAGACGAATTGCGATAAGGAAAAAATAGAGCATTAGACTATTGTTTCGACCACCGAGCGACCAACGGCATCAGATATGTGACGTATCACAAACTTTTACATTGAGCAGATTCGTTACTACATCATTCGGTATCGTAAATCCAGCTACTAAATGTCCCATTTACTACCCTTATCTGTATCTCTTAGTAGGGCCGATTGCACCTCGGTCAAAAACACGACCTTCCTCGAGACTGGATATCGGATTGCGCTCAGCGGCGCACTCGCTTCTCGCTAAAGACCCATAAGATGTTCTGCAACATACCTTATCGTTCCCAAGTACCAAGACCACAGCAAATCCCATACCGAGGCATACCTCCGAAGCATATCATGTACATGTACCATGCGCTGGTCTAACACTCGTGGGGTGTACCAATTGGTAGGTTCAATCCTTCGAATGGTGTTTTCGTCTGGACCTTCGCCATCTTGGCCAACTACCTGTTTTGAGTTTCCTGGTATCGCAAAGTTTCAGTTGGGGAAGGTCGTAAGTATCTTGCAATCTGTACAGCTGAGACTTCAATATTGGAACAGCATGTGGCCGTTTTAGTTCATTACAGTTCACGTCTCCTACTGTCCCCTTCAAGCGAGATGCAAAGAAATCAACCTGATCACACGCTCAATACATGATTGATTTTCCAACTCTCTCATATCCGTTTACTTCCTGTCATATGATATCGCATCACCCCCGTCTTATCACACGCAGCCAAGCTCGCTTGCCATGCGCACCTAGCCACATGAGTAAGGCGGTTATATACATACATCCCCACAAACCTTCATCTACATAGATTGACCCCACAAACGCACGTCTCTTCGTTTCCACTCGCCATGATTCAGGTATTCCGGTATCTGTCAATGCTTGCCGACATGTCGTATGCATGCGTGGTTTAACCTGCACAAAGCTTAGAAAAGCCGAGAGAATCTAGCCATTGCGGCAGAACTGGGTAAAAGCGAACAACAACCCTCATGATCCCGACACGCCTTTTTCGCACATAGTGATCGCATCTGCGACGAACACGATGTCGACCGTTGACAAATAGTGCTCGAAGTCTCCGAGAAGCGGTCAGTGCTGAGAAGGATTGGAGGTTCTATATTCCAGCTATCCACGTGAAGGAATGGCAATATATATCTGCAGGTTTGTTGTTCTTTATCTCTACATCGGGTCTGTGCATGGGTACTGACCTGACAAATAGGGAATACAGTCCTTTCGTGAAAGAGTATCGCGAAAGATAGTCTCCGATGACGATATCACTGTTTGGCGGTGGTTGCCGAAGTCGAGATCAACGCTTCGAAAAGATAGATACCTGCGAGAGCCAAATACGACTAGACACCTATCGAAGCTTCACATCTCGCTTGTCGTAGGCGAGCATACATATGCATTGTCGCATACACGAGCCCATCGTCTGTACGACCATCACCCCATTCCTATTCCTGTTCCGTTATCCACCTGTCCAAATCTAACCTCGTCACGCGGTAACGCGAAGCCCGCCGTCGAATCACAGTATTGAACGCAACTCGGGACCCCCTTTGGCCTCTGTAGAAGATACCAGAATGCGCTCGTCAAGTCAGACTATGGATCTCTGCTCGAGTCACATGTTGTCTAGATAGTATTGCTTGTCACTGTCAGCAACTACAGCGCATCTTCCAAGACCATGGTCTCTGTCTTGAGCATAACAGGTGCTAGACTAGCCGGTGGATGAATGCGCAACATGCCATAACATGGCCAAATGGTTGCACACGGCACCATCCTCCTTCTTCTCTTCATGCACAGTATGCACCTAGAAGTTCAACCTCCCCCAGAACTCTGCCAACTGCAAATATCCGCACCGAGCTGGTTGGCAAGAAAAGATACTCTGAAGTACGTGTAGGTCGAGACGGGTGTAATGGTTGCAATACCATTTGGGATATCCACCACCGTCGTACGATATCGTCATCTACTGTGCATTGTCGAGCCGCGATCCATGGTCATATCGTGGATATTATTGATGGGTCAAGCGGACGCGAGAGTCCAGAATCTTGGGGAGAAAAGAAAAAGCCGGCAAGCAAGCCGTGAACAGACAGCACTAGGACAGCTCACTCACTGTGGACTCTGGAAAACTCTTGATTGTGTACTGCAGTGACTTGGAAGATTTGTTGACATAAAAGAGCGCGCCCAGTCCAGATTCCGTCTCAGGATAATAGTTGGAAAGGTAGATTTGACGACGGCAAGGTGATTGATTTTCCATGCAATGGTCAATTTCGAGTGTCCCATTAATTCTCGCTATGCTCAAAGGAAACCTGTTTTTGGTCACAGCGACCCAGATTGTTGCTCGCGTTTGAACCTCACCTTAGCCAGCCATTCAGCCATTCAGTCACTCTTCTTCCTTTCGTCTGCTTCCTTGCTGCAATGCGCGACGTCGCATGACTCTTTCTCCTTGTCTGCCTCAGATGGGAAAATTCGCACAATGAATTCAGCCTGCCAGCACGCAAACCATGTCGACCCTCAAGTCTACGCTCTCCCGTATGCGTTCGTGTATTGATGACGATGACGATGATGATGGTTCCAAGAAAACTCTTTTTGTCCCTCCCGTTCCGTGATCGCCCACTCGAATGCAGATACGTATTAATTATTACCGGGGGAGGGAGCAAGCACTTCGTATCTATCACGGCTCTCCGCACCACCTCACCCTCCCATCTCCCACACCAAGCGTGCTGTGTCCATTTACGGAAGAGAGAAAAGAAAAACCCTCCGTCCGGGAATACCAAATCTTCATACCCGGACAACAAGACACCAAACGTCGTTGGCATCATGACCCTCGTCGTCCTCCTCCGCCACAGCCACAGCCGCCCAATACACACCCAGGTCCCCCCACCCATGATAATAATCATCACACCATATGTATCCACAATCAACGAGGCCGTTTCGCGTTCCGCACACGATCCTACACCCCGCGTCCAAAACCGCGGGAGAAAAAAAAAAACCTTCGGAACCTGCGGAACCCATTCACGCCTTACCATCCCCCCCCGTCGATCAGGCACCGATGAAGCAAGCCTTCGGGTACTTGATAACAATAACAATTAACCCAAAAGAAAATCGAAATTAAAAGGCTTAATATGTATGTACATGCATATAACATTGATGGATAAATTAGCGAGGCCGCTTTTTCTAGCCCCAGCCCAGAGCCAGCAGCCCTATACGCGCCCGCCCGTCGGTCAGGTTTAAAAAATAATAATAATCCTGAGACGATGGCATCTGCACCATTGATTGAATTGATGGAAAACTGCTTCGTCGTCAGTGCCAGCACCCAGCAAGCGAGCAAGTTTATGAAACCAAAAGGAGGGCGAAGAAATACACAACATATAATTAACCATCCCATGCATACATACCAGACGCGTATACATATGTAATAGCTAATAATTAATCAATTAATTGATTATCATTGTACTGTACAGTACATGCGTCGGTCTCTTCGCGCCGTCCGTTTGGGCGCATAATTCGTACAACGATAGATGCGCACCACCCACCCAACGGTATTGCGCGCGCACACTCGACACTCGACACACTCGCACGGCTCCCTTCTTTGATCGATCAAACAGAAAAAACACGGACGAACCACAGAGCCTGCAAAGACCAATGGATCGGTTCGAGTAATTAGCGGCGCAACGCGACGCAGGAACCTGGTAAGTCTATCTATGTATGTACAGTACATACAGTACATCCAG